AATTTTAGTCTCCAATCTGCCGACGCGGCACACACGATAAAAACTTATTAGCATGAATAAGGGCGTTGCATGATCGCGCAATTTCTTTGCCACTCATTTCTGAGTTAAACGATTCGGCGTGAGGTCTGAAATTATACAAATAAAATATTCAATATGAAAACAGTTCAGAATTTATTGTTAGAACAATCAGTCACATATTACATCTATATAAAATTCTTTCATGACAAATAAGAATAATTATTAATGTAGTTACATTATATTGTGAGTAATTAACGTAGACAATAATGAAATACAATTAATCAAACATTTTTAGATATCTAGAAAGTATTTTATAATTTACAGACTCTCGTTTCAGTTTACAAAACAGATTCGATAAATTCCACTCTATCACTTTGCTTGAAAAATAAAATTTTAGCAAACATTCAACGGATTGCATATTGGGTTAAAAATAAATTCAATAAATATCGTTCCTATTTGTAAAACTGAAATTTTTCTACATACATCCTTTTATTAAAAAAAATTGTTGAGTTCCATAAATCCGTGAAAAAATACGATAATTCATTTTCCGATAAAAAACGAAGTAAATCAGAAGGGTGCGTGAATTCTACACAGATAAAATACGACGATGCGACCATGAACTTTTCTTAATGGGTAACAAATTAAGAAATGGAGAAACATAGGATCAAGGCTTACTTGAAAACTACGGCTTCTGGCTTACGAGCGGGAAGTCAATGGCAATAAACGTTATACATAATACATCGCGGCGTGCAAAGTATACATCATGCGCAATCCTCGCACTATCTGCATTATTGCATTATTCAAGAACGACCTGTGTCCCAGAATCGAATGATAATTAATATTCGCGAGGGAGCTACCAATTAGCAACCGAAATCTGCACGCGGCTGTGTGGGAGGGCAGACCCTGGAAGAGGGACAGACAAAGAAAGATAATGCGAAGAGAAGAGAGGCACAGATAAAGGGCGAAGGGTAGAGAGAGAGAAGGTGGCACAGAGTGAATAAACCAACAGGGAGAGAGAGAGAGAGAAGCGATGCTTAACCGACTGCCGAATCTAATCTAAACCCACTAACCGCTGATGTAATTAAAATGACGATTTTCGATAATTACCTACCCTCAAATTTCTCAAAGCTCTTCTCGGCGTATTTGCTAGCACTACAGAACTCTGCTTAAATAATCTCAAACCAAATAAAGTAATTAGCGTGATTGTAACAAAATAATTAACTAGACTCGATCCTTCGCATTTTCTAAAATGATAGATTTTGCAACGAACGTTGTTTTCACTTTATTATTTTTTCAAACGAACTTATAAAAGATACACTACTCGATTTTACAAAGCATTTGTTAAATAAAGCTTTTAGTCAGAGTGAAAGAAAAACAGATGAAACTACATTAATTGGGTCAGCGTTTGTGTCTATGTAAAAGTGTGTCAACGATTTGCTTCAGATTCGTACGAAAAGTTTTTAATCACGGCGCAAAACATCTGTTACAGTACTTCCTTGCTAACAAGTAAAAAGTTTCAGATAAAATCATGTTTCATCCTTTCTACTGCGCTACCTGAAAATTGCCGACATTTATTAAGAATGTTTGATGGAAAAATATTAAATATCCAGGAATCATATTTCATGCAGAATTTATAAAACAATTAAATAACCGTATATAACGACTTTTATCGATAAACTAAGCATTCTTATAAGACGTAATAAAACATAAATGTAATTCACATTCTGAATCGTATCTGAAGAAATATCTGCGGAAATAATGCAATCCGATTTAATGCAAAATGCGGTTGACATCAAGGACGCTCTTTTTAAGAAAAGGAGAAATGAGAACATGATAAATTGATCTGATTGTACAACGCGGAATAAATTTGTCCCCTTACGCCTGGTCGCATCTGAAAGGAGTTCGGAATCGAATCAACCTCATAAGATGTTGGCCCTCCAGTTTCTTTTATCAGATTTCGCTGATCAAAAGATGGTCAGCTTCTACTTCTTACCACCACCCCATCACGTTCATTAAATTAGATTTTGTATAAAAAATCGTTTCTACGATATCATTATTAGATGTTCAAATAAAAATGATGATCAAACGAATCCTCTTACACATTTCTGTATTCCTTAACTATGGATGCTAAACTCTAGTCTGATTTGAAACAAACCAGGAATTTGTATTTCGATAGCTTATTTGATTAACAGCGGAAGAATGCAGTGTGCATGTAAGGAGGATCGTATATTCGTGTTTCAGGTGCACCCGAGGAGAAGTTGTGGGCCATGCTGCCGGGTGGTCCGTCGCCTCCGGAGCGACCCACGACGCATCGGACAACGACGACAAGCGTCGGGACAACCTACAGGCCGTGGCGAACACGACCGACCAGACCGAATCACTATCCGACTGACGACCGGCCTCGACGCCCCGATCGTTACCCTCAAAAACCAGATTACAGAACCGAGAGGCCGGAGGATCGACCTCAGAGGCCTCACAAGCCTCACCGACATCCCACGACCTCCACTACGACCACCAGCACCACAACCGTTAGGACACCGTACACCCAGAGGCCGAGGCATCGGTGGACACCCCCAGCGCCCAGAGACGATGTACCAGACAAATGCGACACTACCTACGACGCTATCAGCATTATCCGCAGGGAGGTTTTTGTCTTCAAAGGACGGGTAAGTGCCAAACCCATGCGATATAATCTTGATACCATTTTTAGAGAGTTTATTACTCTTGAAAATATTACGAACTTGTACGTAGACTGCAGATTTTATGATAGAATCGTACAGATCGAATGAAACGAATAAAATTGAATTTATTTCGTTATTATACGTACGAAAATGATTTATATTAATACGGATTTTTATACTCTGTGCAGTACTTGTGGAGAATCGGCGATCATGGATTATACGAAGGATATCCAGCGGAGATCAGGCGTTTGTTTAATATACCTGAGGACATCGATCATGTGGACGCGGTTTATGAGAGGCCAGATAAGAAGATAGTATTTTTCATTGGCAAGAAGTATTACGTTTTCAACGCTAACAATCTCGAACCGGGCTACCCGCAACCATTAACGACGCTGGGATTACCAGAATCGTTGGAGAAGGTAGACGGCGCGATGATTTGGGGTCACAATGGGAAAACGTATTTCTTCAGTGGATCCATGTATTGGAGGTATGAAAAAGAATTAATATTTGTTAATAAAAATGCATGAATATCAATACAGCTGTTTAACGAGAAATTATTTAACGCAATTCGTAATATTCTTATTATAGGTTTGACGAATCCGTAAACTACGTAGAACTCGATTATCCAAGGGACGTAAGCATGTTTGCCGGTGTTGGAAATGACATCGACGCTGTTTTCCAGTGGAAGAACGGTGAGCAATCTTATCATTTATAAAGAGACATGAAGTTCCAACGAGTAATAAAATATCGTTCAATTCATTTTTATGTATTTTTCAGGCAAGACGTACTTTTTCAAAGGGAAAGGCTTCTGGGAATTCGACGACCTGCGAATGAAAGTGGCACACGAGAAGCAAAAATTATCGGCACCGTTTTGGATGGGTTGCCCACGGGAGTTAGAGACCAACGACATCGATAATTATCCAAGAAAATCAAAGATAATGGCCTCGAGCGAAGCGTCGACACGACCAACCCTATTTCTCGGGATATTTTTTATAGCATACGTTAATATTAAATATTTGTAAACTGTGATATTTATATAAAGTCACGTGTAAATGCGAGCGCGTATCCGTGTACGCGCTCTAATCTACACGCGACTGAATTTTAACACACTTCTCTTATACCGATTATATATAAAATAATTTTAATAAAGTAATTTTTAAATAATTTTAATAATAAACGACAAACTTTATCCTCATTCGCGAGTATTTCTAATAAAAATGATTCATCCCTCATTTTTACTATTACTCATTTTTATCGCTTATTACACGCTAAAATGGGAAATAAATGAATAGGCAAGTAAATCCTAAATCACATTATCCTTTAATCGATATATTTAACAAAAAACATGTACACTTGTTTTTTGGATCAGCTTTAAACGATATGTCAACAGAATCTCTTTACAGATTTTCACGTATGTATCATATATTTTGGCAAAGTGAACAAACAGACTTAGCCATGCTCAATTTTTCTCAACGTAGCCGTTTTAGACGTTTCGTTTTGAGCAACAAAATATCGCGACCACGGTGCATTCGGAAAAGCGTAATGTTACAAGTTAAAACCTTGTTGTCGGACACGAACAGTTTCGCAGTGAGCATAAGTTATTTTGAATTCCACCATAGTGCGCGATCTGCATTTCGTTATTTAATTTCCTCTTAGATTTGTTTTTCGTTAACATGTATATATATATTTCACATTCTATCTGTACGACAGTAAAGCTTCGTTGAACGTTTCGTCTTTTCCTCCTGATGCTAAAGACGGAAATCTGGTGGCGAATATGGGTCCCAAGGGTTAAGCAATCGCAGTGTTGTTTGAACAATGGTATCTACCTCTGCCATCCCACCCATTCCTGTATCGCCACACATAAGTGTTTTCGAAATACATGTCACTTCCTTGTATCCCCAAGACTTTAGCAGTGATATCTGAAAATAAATAAAAGTATCTTAGTATACTTTCCATGCCTTAATTGATCGACAGTGGTAATCTAAGATTTATTGAAATATCATACCTGTGGCGCAGTAACTGGATGTTCCCACATTTTAGTATTCATAGCAGGACAAAATACCAGTGGCTTCAAAGGATCCCAGGCACGTGCAACACAAGTTAATATATTATCGCTTATACCACTGGCCATTTTACCAAGTGTATTGGCGTCTAGTGGGGCTATCAAGAACAGATCTGCCCATTTGACTAAATCGATGTGCAACACAGGATCGCCTCTGTCTTGCCAGGCAGCCCATTCTACTGTGTCGGACAGAACTTGAATTCCCGGGTGCAGTTCGGCTTCCTTTAAGAAATGCTTAGCTTTCTCCGTGACCACTACTCTTACTTCCAAATTGTTATGTCGCAATTTCTCTACTAACTGTGGCAACTTAATAGTGGCAACGCTACCGGTGCAACCAATCAAAACTTTCTTTCTAGAAGCCATTTTCACGAATTCGTTACTACTTTGCTCGCCTAACAATTTGTTACTTACTACTTTATTTATTCTATAAAACGTAGTTCTCTTTTATCGACTAGACCAACAGACAACATAGAACTATTTCAATCCTCCCAAGAACAGCGCAACATGTATCGCTATGTTACAGGCCATGTGAGGCATCAATTTGATTAACGACGAACTACTAATCGACGGAGACCCGTGCTAACGATCTTCTCGATCTTCAGATCTCTATATCAATTATATTGCTGCTTCTTCAACAAGTTATCGTAAATGCTTGATCAAATTATTCTGAAGTCTGTTCACTGCACAGGAATCACTTCAATTCTGACTGCGTGTCAACGAGTATTCACTATTTATTCGTTATCTCGAGAAATGCGCACATATAAATATACATTCATTTATTTAATTCGCAGAACACATTAATATATACGTTATATGTCGTTTTCAAATTTGTACATACACTTTCAGTGACCCGTAAACTATTTTATTTAATTCCCCGAAACGGAAGCAAGGATGACCCAGCAAGTATGTAAGTTCGTAAATGTAATACCAGCCGCGTACGAGATAAGATCTACGAACGTCGCGATAATCGATTAGCAATAAATCGGTGCTGTTATGTCTCCTTGACCTCCTCGGCGAAACCAAGATTGGCCCAGTCCTCGCGCGCCATCAAATCGTTGTCCATCCGACAGGCAAGGTAGTCCTTCGCGATTTCTCGACACATCGTGCCCTCATTTTTATTCTCGAATAGGCAGCGCATATACTTGACCATCAGCATTTTGCAGGCACCTTCATGGTCGAGTGGAAAGCTGCCCTTCTCGGGTGGTATCGGTGTGAATACCTTCTGCGAAAACGAGTATGAGCTCATCACTAACGCTGGTTACGCTCATACAGACGATTTAACAGACGGGATGCTTCAGAAAAAGTTCTCAATGACGTTCGTCTATCGAATTCGTGAAGCGAACTGCTCGTTTTTTAAGCACGCACACGTTACACCTGCACTGCGTTCGCCATTATGGGGAACAGCCGTCCTAGTGCTCGCTTGTCGAACTATCTTCACCTCCGATCCCACTTCCGCGCAGACTCTGACTTCCGCAATGATCTTATGTAACAATGCAAATCGTTTTGAATGGACTCCGATCTGTGTGTACACTCGACCTGTATGTCAGATTGGTTTCCAAATGAAAATACAGGACTGAACTTCAGTATAACAGCGATTAAAATAAAATGGAAGGAAACAGTCCAACAAAAGAGAAGAATAGTGTACTGGACGAGGAGGAACAGTCGCCAACGTGGAAAGATTTAGTAAGTTCAATCATTTTCCTAACCTAAATGGGAAGGCCATGTGATTCCATCACATGCCTTCCAATTTATTATGTATCCACACATTTACGAATAAAATCTTGTAGAATAAAATTAATATTAATATTTTTATAGGGTATTGTAGACACACTTTGTAAAGCTTGTGAAGATCTGAAATGGAAGAAGCCTACAAAAATTCAGTGTGAAGCTATTCCATTGGCTATTGAAGGTAAATTTAAAAGATAGATAATCATGCTTCTATAATGATCAAATAAAAATGTCTTTCGATTAACAAATTTGTCAGGTAAAGATATAATTGGCCTGGCAGAAACTGGTTCTGGCAAGACTGCTGCATTTGCTCTTCCTATATTGCAAGCACTTCTAGAAAATCCACAGAGATACTTTGCCTTAATTTTGACACCTACCAGAGAATTGGCTTTTCAAATATCAGAACAATTTGAAGCGTTAGGATCATGTATTGGTGTAAAATGTGCAGTAATAGTAGGTGGGATGGACATGATGTCTCAAGCATTAATATTGGCAAAGAAGCCACACATTTTAATTGCCACACCTGGCAGATTAGTCGACCATTTGGAAAATACCAAGGGTTTCAATCTACGCTCTTTAAAATTTTTGGTAATTGAAGTTACATACGTACAATTACAGACATATATTTAAAAGAACCAGCATATACATCCTTTCAATTTTAAAAGGTCATGGATGAAGCGGATCGGATTTTGAACATGGATTTCGAAGTTGAAGTCGACAAGATTTTAAGAGTTATTCCCCGCGAAAGGAGAACGCTATTATTCTCCGCGACGATGACCAAGAAGGTGCAAAAATTGCAACGAGCGTCTTTACGGAATCCTGTTAAAGTAGAGGTCTCGACAAAGTATCAGACAGTCGAGAAGCTTCAGCAATATTACATATTTATTCCAGTTAAATTCAAGGTATGAATAACTGTTTTCAATCATTAATCGAATTCCGCTTTCCCTAATACGTTTTCGTATCGCAGGACGTGTATCTCGTGCACATCCTGAACGAATTAGCGGGTAACAGTTTCATGATATTTTGCGCAACGTGCAATAACACCGTTAGGACTGCGCTTCTGCTGCGAAGTCTTGGATTTACTGCGGTTCCCTTGCACGGGCAAATGTCACAGAATAAAAGGATAGCCGCTCTCACGAAATTCAAAGCGAAAAATCGATCCATATTAATATCCACGGACGTTGCTAGCAGGTAAGTACACCTAACTAAATGTTAAATACGAGAATATCATTCTTATTCTATGTATTCTTCGTTTACAGGGGTCTCGACATCCCTCATGTAGATATTGTAATAAACTTCGACATCCCTACGCATAGTAAAGATTACATACACAGAGTTGGACGTACCGCGCGTGCTGGCCGTTCCGGACGATCCATCACATTTGTAACACAATACGACGTGGAGCTGTATCAGAGAATAGAGCAACTGATATCGAAACAATTACCGTTATATCCGACGCAGGAGGAGGAAGTAATGGTGCTTCAAGAAAGGGTAGCTGAAGCGCAGCGCAACGTTAAAATGGTAAGATCATCAATTATTCGATTATTTTATATTATTCGATGGGAGCAGTATGAATACGAATAGAAATATTGCCTCAGGAAATGAAAGACATAGAAGAAAGTAAAAAACCGGGTAAACGTAAGAGGGGTCAGGACGACAATGAGGATGACACGGAACAATCTCTGGGAGTGAGGAAGAGGATAAAAGGGAAGCATAAAGGAAAATGGAAAAAGAATTAAATTTCCTTATTGAACATTTAACTAGAGTTATTAACATTTTCTTAATAAATAATTAAAATATAAGATGTACTAGTCGTTTTTATTTGTATGATAAATCAAATCGTCATGACTCACGTGTATATTCGATGCATTTATTCTATGCTCACAGTTTGCGTTAAGATTTACAAAAACCTCTTTCTTTCCCTTGCAACTTTTTAATACTATTCCGTAATACCCTAAATGGCTGATTCGTTTGATATCAGACGTAACGTATGGTGAAATCGGTTACTATAAACCTAATGAGTTTGACTAACGGGTGATTAATTGGATTTTTACAAGGAGACTTGAACTTTGTCCAAAGGTAGCAAAATAAGAAGAATCGTGTAATATTTAAGAAATCATCGTTCTATTGTAGTAATCATAATAATGTCTTTGCATTGAGCAAACATCTCTACCCATATGAGAATAGTGTAAAATACATAATTAAAAATCACAATCTCTTAATCACTGTCACTTAAAATATACTGATATTAATAAGGGAGTCACTGTAACAGGCAAGTTATTAAGCTGCACACTCAATTCGATTTGCTATCTGTTAAAAATCAACGATACTCAGCATATGTATGAAAAGAATAAGAAAGATCGTATTACGATAAATGCGAAAATGTTATACACCGCACTCACTGCTGTAAACTTTGTTAAGTTTTCCCCTCAAACCTCTACAGTCTAATTATAAATGAACATTGTACAGATTTTCATAGTACAAAATACACAGGAACAGTAAAATGTTCCATGTTTAATTATACGATTATAATGTAATATCTAAAAGCTACAATTATTAGTCAACTGTATAAAGTAGCAACAAATCCTTATTTATTATTTTTGCGTATAATATTATCTCTTTCCATACATCACTAGGGGGTTGCAAAACAATTCTCGTGAAAAATGTAATGTTGCTTAAAATGAAACAGAAAAAAGATACTCGATTCAACTTGCAGCTAGTCTCCACTGTTAAGGATATTCTAATCAGAGTGCTGTGTGATATAAACTGCGATTCTCTTACTGATCTAATCTCTCGTTAATATGCTGTTAACAAGCGTCACTCATTCAGATATACGTTAAGTTATAATATTGAACACTATTTGAAGTCATTGACATCTGGATGGTGCGTAATCACGTCAAAAAATATTTAAGAGATAAATTTCAAATAGATTTACAACTTTTTAAATATTTGCTGGACAGTACCCTTTAGTCTTCTCGAAAAAATATATGCATATGATAATTTAAACACGAGCGTAAAACGTTCCCTCTAAAATAAATCGAGAAAAGAAATCGTAAATATTATATGGAAATATAGTGGTCGTCGCAATTTCAATCGTAACAAGAGTATCTGCTTAGAATATATATCTATTACTTTTGCTTCAATAAGTTTTAATCACCATCCTAACGCTAAACTTGCTCAGGTGAGATCCAAACTCTTTCTCCTTTATTACTAACGAATGCAATACGCCTAATCTCGTTGTCGAAGGCTTTTGTAATAATGAACAGTTCGCGTGCAAGAGTTATACAGTTCAAAATTCCGAAGCAAGAACTTTTTGTTGTTGTCTGAACTTATTCATTCCAAACGCCGATACCGTTTCTCATATCTTAACAAGAAACATCGATTATTAAAAAAAATACAGAAATATATATGTAGGTATATATATGTATGTACATGTTCCAATTGAAAATGTTTCTTTTATCTCTCCTTTTTTTTGGCTTTCCTTTATCAGAAATATTTTTGTTTCAGTATCGATGTTTTATAATAAATAAGTTCGTACAATATGAACTTCATTTCTCATTCGCTCTCGTTTCACTCTCGCCCTTCTCTCTCCCTTTCTGTATTTTTATTAATCCATAAATACATATGCACAATGATTATCACGAATCGACGAACACATTAGTACGTTGCACGTAAAGATTTGTTCAAAAATGAAATTAAAAAAAGAGGAGGAACGAACTACCGGATCTGATAGAATATGCGGTAGAGAAGTAGCTAAGCGTAATCGAGCTACTCTACGAATGCTCTTTCGAATGAATCCAGTCTCGAATTCGACGGTGGCGGTTACGTGTTTCAGAATCATCAGAACATAACTGGTAAGTAACTTGGTCGAGGATAGAAATCTAATGGATGGAATGTTCTGAATGCAAGGTGTCCAGAGAATTGATGCATGTGTGTGTACGTGTATCAGATGTGACAAAAATTGAAACAACTTAGGTTTCATTTAAATGAGAAATAAAATATATTCCATAATATTATTATTCACTATTTCTACACATTCTGTACAGTAATTCATTTTAAGGGTTTTATACCTCAATATACTTTATACAAAAATGCTACTTAAAATCTAACATTAAGACATACCATAGCATGAGCGACCTCCACCTCGCCGCCGTCACGGCAGATGGGCCGCACGCATGTTTGTACTGGTATTACAGAGTCAGTCGCCAGCGAGTATAACTTCTTCCTCTTGTTTATCACACACCACACACTGAAATATTAAAAGTGTGTCTCTGGTGCTATTTTTCTTTTTCTCACATCATCTTTTTTTACAATTACAATTTACCGTCCTCGATTAACGTACACCATTCGTTTTATCATTAACCGAAATCTCCTTTCATTTTTCGTCGATCGCGGGTGATTCGCGTTTTACTTTTCCGTTTTACTCGAAACGAGGAATACTATTAGGGAAGATATTTTAACAAACGCGGTGTCAAAATATAAACGAAGAGTCTTCATCGCATTGTCATGCTCACGCTTCCCCTTTTGTGTTTACGCTGCTTTTTTTTGTTGAGATACTCTTTACCAATAAATGAAATTATATTTTGTGAAAATATAGAATTGTAAAAAATAAAATCTGTCTTCTCGAGATTTGGATAATACCGGTACAGAAATAGTGCATTTCGGAGACTTCACACAAGCAACAGGACTGTTAATTCAGATCTCTGTCTTCTAAGTACTTGTACTCAAACGTAAAACCTTCCTTTTTCCTCTGTCCCCATTTTTCGTAATCAAAATAAATGTACGTTCCCTGAAACAATCGTAGTAAGATCATTAAAAGCCGCTGTCACACGTTCGAGGTATATAGTCAACAACCAATTGTTAAATTGCATACCTGCTCATATTCCTCGTTGATCACTTTCGGTTCCTCGTGCCTTTGAAACCACATCATGTACTTCGTGTGAAACCTCCAACTTTGCTTTTTCAGGGCTTTCGCAGCCAGGTACTGGCCCTTGGAACCTTCCATATAATAAAATATGAAGAATAACGTTTCGGTAGAAAGACGTTGGAAGAACTCCACAGTATCAGAATGAGGAAGTTGAACCTGATGTGACGAAAGTACACACAGGAACAGATGTAAGAAATTACATTACTGCGATCGCTCGGAGAAACTAACAGCGTTAGCTGGCGCAATGATACGATGGTAGATAGAACGATACCTGCTGATAGTAAGGAGGCGTCGGGCATAAATTTCTTGGTAAATACGACCTCAAACGTTCAGAGTCAGATGGATGAGGCATATGGTAGTAAGCAGCCTCCATCATCTGGAACTGTAGCTGATGCTCTTTTTGAAGCGGCACCGGTCCGAGTGGCGCGACACCGAGAAGCGGAGGAATGTGTGCTTCCGACGTGGCATTGTTGTTGTTATTATTCGCCTTACCACTGTCGAAGATGTTTCTGTTCGACTCGGACGGCGGTATTTCCAGACCTGCTCGGACAATTACTTGTTGGGCTATAGATTTCAAAGAGGACATGCCATCAGGAAGCTTAGGGATGAGACCATTGGCAGTGGATGGCGCTGGCGAACAGGAATTTGCAGGCAGAGGTGAAGACCTACTGCTAACTGACGACTGCGGCGACGAAGATGGTGGGATCGGCGTTGTCATTTCAGTTTCGCTATTGTGATTCTGATTCTGTTGGTTATGCAACACATGCGTCGTCTGTATCGGCGCCGGATTATTATGCTGTTGCGAGATCGTTTGTGGCACGTTCGAAGTAACGCTGGATGTAGACGACGATGACAACAAACCGTTTTCGCTGCTATGAGCTGCAAGTTTCACAAATGAGCTGTGACGTCGTCTCAATGACACGCGGAAGTATTCGTTCGACGAATGATTACTTACAAGATGTCTTACTAGAGGTAGAATGGATGGCTTGAGAATTACTATGCGAAGCAGCTATTGTGGCGAAGTTGCCGGCATTTGTTGTTGCGATGTGATTACTCGTAGAACTAGGCGAGCTATGGCTAGGTGTTATGGGAATGGTTTTGCTCGGAGTGCTGCTCGACAACAAATTCGATTTTATGGTGGCAGTGCTTCCCGTTGTTGGAATGCTCGCCTGTGAATTTAGTAACGGCCTGACTGCTGTGGGTTTCACAGGCTGAAATCGAAACGTACAATAAAAATCTGTTCACTACCGTTCGTACATACGATTTGCCTAAAGTTACATACCTTCGTTTTCTTGTCATTATCTGTAGAACTATCACTTGAATGGTTGTGCATGGTGGAACTCAAAGGAGGTGACGGTATAGGCGAAGTACCAGAATTGGTTGAGGTTGGTGTACCTCCAGTCTCATTGCTATTGTTACTGTCCGTAGTCGCTGACGACGGAATACCGACTCCAGACAGTTCTACTTCATCGAGACCAATAATATCATCGTAAATATATTCGTTTTCTTCGAAATCAGGTTCCTGTGAGGACTCGATATAATACTCTACATCATCTTTTATCCTCTTGATCTGTAAAACAAATGGATGAGAGGCATTAAACGACTGGGAACGCTTAATGCATTCGCGTGATTAAAAAGTTGAATAGCAATTAATGCGCGGCGAACTTACAGTGTTAACTTCAACAGACATATTGTCCAGCATGCGCAACAGTGTTTCAAGTTTACGGATATGATAACGATGTTTATCAAGCTTTGTTTTCAACTCGTCCATTCTATCCTGCTTATCTTTATCTAATCTTTTCTTCTTTCCTGCGAGTAACGATTCTATTTCGGACTCAAACGTGTCCAGCTACATTAAAATTAATCATCAACGCGTTATAGTCTTTTATGAAAAGAACAATATTCGGAGATTTTTTGTTAAACCATCGTGTTCTGTTCCGTACCTGAAGATTCAAAGAATCTATGGAATTTGCGAGCCAATTGCTAACTTCTTCTCTTTCCTTCTGAGCTGGATCGAGTTTTTGAGCTGCTCCTAATCCTTCCTTCGAATAAGCTTTCGTTTTCGTTTCCCTCTCTACGACTTTAAACCTTTCCATTTGCTGGAAACGAGTGAATACTAAGTTTATGCTACACAACTTTCGTTTCTGTTAACCCGTCAAGAAATATGCTCACAGTCTCGATTAGCTTCCTGTATTCAAGAAGCGTGCTTTTATCCTTAATCTCGCCTGATGCGAGCCAGGTTTTGATTTGATCACGTAACCTTTGAAGCTTCTTGATTTCCTTCTTAAGGTCTGCTTCATACTTCTCCTTTTGATTGCTATTTGTAGCATTGTGAACCTTTTGCCAAATATCCTCAAACGTCTCTACTCCCTCAGTCACTTTTTTAAGGCACCGATCTATTTCACCTAAAAGTATACAGAATACATATTAATTTGTACAATTACACAAAATTCTAATTATTTCTTACATTTAAATATCTGAATTCCAAAACTTAGCAGAGGCAGATAAGTTGATTGAATACTATTTTTGCAATGGTAAGCATGATTATATTTCAAATGAGACGAAAATAAATCTTTAAAATGTGTATTATCCATGTTACTCGTAAAATACTGCAATTAGAGTTTTAAAGCTGGAAGGATTCACGAAAGGAAACAGGGAATAAGAATACTTTTTTCTTGACTAAAATGTTCCTTCAAACTGATTGGGGAGAAGACAAGAGACAAGTTATCTCTTTAGAGAGCAGTTTACTGGACAGTTTATGTGAGAAAAGTTTATACCAATGAATGGTTTGCATACACAGGATCACCATGATACATACAAGCAGGAAATAGTATAAAGTTAATTTAAAGGTTATGCTGACATAAGAAAATAGCATTAGGCTGCAATTAATACAGCTTACGCAAGAGGAAATAACTTGGAAGAAAGAAACGTATGAGAAGTTAAGGAGAGAACACACACCAGTCCATCATACCCTGGCAACCTGTACCAACTGTCAGGCAGAGAAGCCTGCATGCTAAGTAGATAATGCGAGTTAAAAATAGGCTAGGACGCAATTCGTACGTGGAATCGTTTTTAACCGGCACAGCGGACCGCAGGAGACGATGCAAGATCGAAAAGCGATGTTGTGTCGGGTGGTGGGCCACAACAAAATTCGTCTAAATGTAAACATGCTGGAAACATTATCTTCTCACCTTGCAACTTTCTCGTCGCAGCCATGGCTATGTAAACATGTGATACAATAATTCATGCATAGTCTAGACGTAATGGAAAAAGTACGGAACAATTTTACGGAACAAATAGTCGGTGAACTATTATTCCTCGTATAATATGGGAGGCTCAGCCACAAGATGGCTTCCGTTTTCAAATGACAACGTCCGACCGTCCGTGAACGAGTTGCGTTGCTCCCGCTCCGTTTTTCCCCGTCAATCTTTTAATCACGCGTGTGTACAATATGCGCTACGTCTCGTCGGTGTTCGATAGCACATAAAAATACACAAAAAGTGATAGCATCAACAAATGATATATATGAAATACTGAATAAATGAGATGGTGTATTTATGCATTGGCGCATTCACACATTCTACCCTCACGCACATAGTTAACACTTAACGCGTTCAGCGTTCGTAAACCAATCGGAATATCGCTCAAACTTTTCGATGCGTTCGCAATAATAATTTACAACGGGGTTCCTTTTAATAAGTGTTCAGACAATTAGAATTATAGATACAACCAGAACGTTTTACAGCGGGCCATGATCATACAGGTAAGAAATTTGGATCAACTCGTTTCGAAACAGCTGCCTGAAACATTTCAAACGCTATTTTAAACGTGGCTCTATCTGAAATATTAAGGCAGATATTGACGACGTTCTTCTTTAGCTGATCAGTGATTCTACGCTATCTTCGGCACGATCTTTGTCATTCCGATCAAATGTGAATAAAAGATCAAACATTCTTATGGTTTACTATATTTTATTGGTAATCTATATGATCAAATACAAGACTGGGTAGGTAGATTGCATTTTATTAATCGTTTGAGGTTTGAGAGTCGACAGTGGCGTAATTTTGAATTCCCGCATGGTAGCCGTGAGCGTCCACATGACCGGGCACTGTTCACGTGACTGCGTATTCTCCACTCCGCTGGCTGACTCAGTCGTCCGCCATTTGCATTTACCTCTTTTGTTTTTACATGCACGTAATTGTTGTTACCACTGTTATCGGTGTAAACGCTTATATACTTACGAGGCACTTATTACTGTATGTACATAAGTAAGTATATTGTAACTATTGTTATACCGATATACCGCGTTAATTTAGGTAAGTATTCCAGTTACTGTTCCTACATTACTATTTTTCAACTTTCGCTATTAATTCTGATTAACAAATACATAGTAATTCGAACTTGCGAAGCGAGTTACTGAGCGAAGAGCTATGCTTACAGTCTAATAATCTGAGTCTGATCTATTAAGATTGTCTTGACAACATTTCGTTTTCAATTGTTCGTCTTTCGTTCCGTGTCTTTTTGAAACGTCGGCGCCGCGCCACTCTTCAGGAGCAACAGAGGAACATCGATATTTTTCTCTCTCTATTACCCGGGCTCACGGCTTGTGCGATACCCGTGGCGATAACCCAGTCGCTGGTCATTGAGGAATAATAAGAAAGAAATTCCTCAAATGAAACCTGAGTTTCACTATTCCTCGACGGACGACGCTACGATCGAAATTCCGCAAATCTTACATCACTGGTGGCGATAACCCAGTCGCTGGTCATTGAGGAATAATAAGAAAGAAATTCCTCAAATGAAACCTGAGTTTCACTATTCCTCGACGGACGACGCTACGATCGAAATTCCGCAAATCTTACATCACTGGTGGCGATAACCCAGTCGCTGGTCATTGAGGAATAATAAGAAAGAAATTCCTCAAATGAAACCTGAGTTTCACTATTCCTCGACGGACGACGCTACGATCGAAATTCCGCAAATCTTATAACACTGGCCAGAGAGTGGGGATACGTCACTGGGCACCACCACGTCGGTTTATATGAAATGCATCCGCGAGAGATGCCGTCGTTTCGCATTTCGAGTTTTCGGAAAACAGCCGTGGGCCAGGGAACAACGCACTCGCACTCGAACCAAGTTACATTCCTGAAGAAAGATTCGAACTCTGTCGCCGATCATCGCAGGACCGGATCGCCGCAAGCCGTATTTCGTTCGACGTATTCGGTCTAACCTCTTCCGCAGAAGCAGACTACATACATACAGTGAAAGATGACGAAAGGTGGCATCACTGGGGATGTGTTGGAAGCACGGACGGAGTCGTGCTCATTGATATGACGCCATTTTACTAACCTTTTCGGCGCGGATCGCGACGATCCAGTTACGGGTGCCTCGCTTTTGATCGCCTCGAGAGCGTCGGAATTTGATCGTTCACGATACACAAGCCGTGCGCCGACCCTCACAATTCGAAACGATTCGCCGGAGCCGAAGTGGAAACCGGAAGGTACGCTCGTTGCACTGGTATCATTCTTCTGTGCAACACAAAGCTTAACAGCAACGTTCTGTTGCTGAAATTCGTGAAACAGTGAATTCCAGTACTCTCCGCACTATCGTTCACCTTTTCTCGTTGTTAGTTTCATCATAATAGACGATATTCATTCGGGAACTTCATGTTGACTTACCGTGGTGTGATGCTCACAGCAAAGGGCTCTTTGCATGTTGTACCATGTGCTCAGTTTCCTGATATTCTCGTCGGAGGTATCACGTTAATTGCTTGTTGTTTCGACACAGCACAGTTCGATGTTTCGGTTTTTGTGATTTATTATTCGTGTAGTGTATCACACGTTTCTGATTCAATGCATGTCTTGTGAAGACGTTTCAAGTGTTTACTTTCTTCAAATTCCTATGCACCGGATTAAATGCAGTAAATAGTAGTTACAAACGTTTACTCGTGGGTTTCGTTGAGATAATGTTATAAAGGAAACGAAATTTCTCGATTAGTTGAATGTAACAGGTGGCTTTGTACGTATACCAATGATGACAATCAATTTTGGTGCAACAGCAAACAGTTTTTTGTTTATGATCCTGATTTAGTTGATTTGAAGATTCAATGCAACATCTTATCATCAATTTTTATTAAATGAGTTTATTTATATGCGCTTTATGAAAATAATTCTTTCGAAATCGTGAAAATTTCGATTTATTAGAAATTCAGTTATCGATCTGAGGAGGACACTCTTTTCTACGTTATTTTAATGCATTACAGGTAATACCACTATAGGCAAGTAGCGCTATTATGGAAGATGAAGATGGTGAAAGTAAAGTCATGGATATGTGGAGCATTCTGGGAAAACAGCAACTTAAAGATACTTCTATTGGAAATTCGTTAAAGTCGATCGATGCGTACGATGCAATAGAGGAAGAGAAGCAGCTGTTACAATACAATTCGATTACGACCAAAGATTCGCCTAGCAAAAATAACAGTACAGGAACGAAGATCGTGTTTAAAGGTTTCAAGAAACGTATCTTGGCACAAGCCCAGGAGACGCAAACGAACGCGTTGAAAAATGTGATACAAGAACAACAGCAATTGTTGCATTCGAATGCGTCGCCGAAGAGTAGCAAGGAGAAGAGGGCAGACATCAAACGGGGCAAAATAACTGAATATGCACAGTATTTGGGTCTTCGACCGTCGTCGAAGAGCAAGTGCTCGAAGTGTCAGCCGTCGTCAAATTCATGTTCCACGTTGAAGCAAAATTCGTGCACGTGCAACTCGACGATGGCGCCTATGCCCAGTACATCGGAATCGTCCACGGTGCCGCGTTCACCTAATTTTAAGATCACGAGGAAGGTTTACCTCTGCGCGGCATGCGGCACCTATTTCGAGAATTGGAATCTGTTTCTACACATGAGGGACATCCACAAACGGCATATATGCTTGTTTTGCCTCGGGATGTTCGGCCAGGCAGAGAGGCTCTCGCATCATCTGATGAAGAAACACAGTGTCCCAGAGATGTCGTTTACCTCCGTCGACGATTTTTATGGTGCTTTCAAGGGATCGTGTTATTTAGTTTGTTGTACGTGTGAGAAAGTTTTTTCGGAAACTGACAACTTCTACAACCACTTCTGTTCGCCGGCGTCTAAGCAGGACATCGCCACGTCTATATGTACGTTGTGCAGGCAAACGGGTTCGCATGCGAGTACATGCAGCTTGGCCGTCAACGCGAGCCAAGAGGTGAATTCTACGATATCGTCTGCTACGCAGTCACCCAAGATGCTTGAGAAAGCTGTGAGCAGTGGGAATAAGATGATTCCCAGGAAACTTGTGAGAAATAGTAGAGCTAAACACGTGGAAGATGGTGTGTCGAATCAACAGAAAGTGAATATGAAAAGGACTGTGAATAAAGTTGCTGTGTCGCAGCGGAATGAAAAGTCGGTTTCTGACGAGGCGATAAACAGGGATGAAACTATACAGGGTGCAATTAAAGACACAGTTGCAGAGACGATAATGGAGGTCTCGCAATACGTCGAAGATTCCTGCGAGGAGAAGGAAGAGAAAGAGGTTTGTCAGAATAATTCGGAATTAAATTCAAACGAAACACCCAGCCATAATATGCCATATGATAGTATAGAGGAAACTATTATGGAAGTATCACAATGTACAAATAATATAGAGGAAGATTCGAACAATATAAATAAGGAAGAGGATGTAGATGCAATGGATGTATCGGATGTATCTAATAAATTAGAAACAGTCTCGAACGAAGTAGCCAAACCTGATACAGAAACGTCATGTCCAGATGAGGATGTTGATATAAAAAAAGATGAAGTCAATGTGCTGGAAGAAGCGGAAGAAAATGTGATTAAAGAGAAAGCAGAGGAAACTGCGACGAACGATTCTAATTCTCACATATCCGAAAGTCCTGCTCAAAGCCCTGTGAATAGATCACTGTTTAGCCCTCAACGCGAATTGCCAGCGTCCGATTTACTGTCCAAAGAAAAAGAAGCGTCTGAGAACGAGGAGAAAGAAAACGTCGACGTACCTAATGAATCTCAGTCTTCGGTATCGTTCAGCACCAGTGAAACTTCCGATAGAAGTTTAGTCATAAAAATATTTACCAATAGGAATTCCCAGTTTTCTGTTGCGAGCAACAGCGATAACGTAGACAACAATCAGAAGCATGAAGAGAACAATAACGCGGAAAGTTCAGTAACAGATGAGAAACAATCGAATATTTTTAAAGAGGGGAGAGAAAATAGTAATAATTATCAAGTGAACGATGAAGACAGTGACTCCGATAGCGATAAATTGGCGGTGGTAGATAATGTTCACGAGGAAACTGAAATCGAAGAGGCGAACGAGTCGAAAACAGTGGTGGAAGATAAAAGCGAGACGAGCGTAAACATCGAAAGTGAAGAAAATGAAATTGGAAATTCTATCGATATAGATGTGAATGGGAAGGAAGACAAAGAATTGAAAAACGACGATGAAAGTCAGACGGAGAGCGCTGTACAATCTCAAATACAGTGGAACGATGGTATTGTATTGGCCGGGGATGACGTTCCTTGCATGGATCTTAACGTTGACGGTACTTTGGATAGTATAGACATAGAAGATTTGTTGAAGCGCTGTATAGAGACAGCTAGCCCGTTCTGCGTTTACTGTAATCATGCACGCCATATAGCGGTGAACGGTAAACAGTTAGGATTACACATGTTAGCCGAACACAAATTTCAACCCCAGCATCCTGCCATAATTATTCAACTGGAACAATTCGTCGGTAGAGTGAAAAAGTCCCTCGACGAATTAGAACTTCAATTCTTTAATTTAGATTCTTACAGCAGCTCAAACGGTACGTACAATGTACCGGACGTAAGGACATACGAATGCTTTCATTGTAGATTTCACTCCGCCGTGCATAAGGAACTTTATTTACATAACCGAAAAATGCATCAAAAGACGATCCTGATCTGTATAATGTGTAAATCTACGTTTTATAGTTATAGCGAGTTACTTTGTCACTTGTGTCCTGGAATATATTCTCCGAACATTAACGTCAAGTACAGGTGTTGTCTCTGCCCCATGGCCAACCTTCCATCCGCGTTTAGATTAATGGTACATTTACGAAAGAGGCATCATGCGTGCGACGTATGCTTGGAGGCGACCGGGAACCAGCAACGGCTCTCGAACCACGTTTGGAAGCACAAGCTTCATCATTTGTGCTACAGATGCGGTATCGCGTACAGAAACAAGCCGGACATCACGAAACATTTATTTTGGAAACACGGCACAGAGAGCGTACTATGCAAAAAGTGTTTGCAGAAGAAGTGGCCACACATATATCATTTTTGTATACCGCCGACGGCGTTCGTCTGCGAGGAATGCGGCTCCAGTTTTTCGCGGGCCGTCGCCTTGAAAGTACACAAGAGGCTTCATTCCGGAGACCATCCGTACGGTTGCGATGAATGTCCCGAACACTTCATCTCCCGGAAGCTGTTGACCAAACACGAGAGTGCTCACAGGGAACCTCAACCGATCAGTGCGAATTTGTTGGACACGATGAGTCAACCACCAGTGATCGATGAGGAGACATCGGATAAGGATAAAGTAGCCGTAACCGATGGCAACGCGATTGCCTTTGATACGACGAGGGAGAGTAAGGAACCTGTGAAAAAAGTCGTCGACGTTTACGACTTGCCACCTTTGAACTTGTCCTCCGAGAGTGACACAGATCCTGAAGATGAGAAACCAGAGACGAAAGAACCTGAAATCGTTGAGAACGTTAAACCAGCCGAAGAAAACCCGGCGTCGCCGGTCGATCAGTCGAAGTTAGTTCTCTCTGAACCAGGCGTAGATAGTATAGTAGAGGTGGAACAGAACGAGGAAGAAAAAGAGCAAGGGGCACAAATTATGGATGGTATCTGGGATAATTTTAAAACGTACACGGCGAGCTTAGAGATGAAAGACTCGGCGAATAGTTTCACGATGAAAGAATCTGAGCTCGAGATGGACGTGGAAACGGACGTAGCGTTTCTGAGGAGTATAGTATTAGCCGACCACGATTACTGTATCGTGTGGACGAACAAAGAGAAGGAAGCGCAATCAAAGTTGAACGAGAAAGAGGAGGGAATTGTAAGCGGGGACCAAGAATTGTTGAGCAAGAAGGATCCGTTGGATGGCAGTGGAGTTCAAACCACCAACGAGGAGGATTCGAGCAAGAAGAAAACGAAAAGTCCGAAGAAGAAGAAACAAGGTGGAAGCACGTCGTCTAGCGATTCGTCCAGCGACAGCGATTCGAGCAGCTGTTCCTGTGGAACCAACTGCAGTTGCAGCAGTTCTTCGTCGGGTAGTTCTTCCAGTTCTAGTAGCAGTTCCGACTCTGACAGCTCAACTTCCGAGGGTTCTCCGAAGAAACGCAAGGATCGAAAGAAGGACAAGGAGAATCCACAGGAACTAGGAGCCGGACTCACCGAGCACGACAACAAGCAGGCTCTTCCGCAAATGGAAACTGGTGCAGCGACCGTTTCCGCTGAACCAGTCTGCCCACCGCAGCTTCTGCTGCAGGAGTCCGATCTCGAGACCGAGGAGACGGAAACGGACGAGGACTTTTACGACGAGCATCCGCAGCAGCTCGCGAATAAGTTGCTCGCGGAGAAACGGAATCAGCTGATGCTGTTGGCGGCCGTCGCTCCGGCATCCACCGAGTCGACCATGCCGTTGAATAACGGTTTGACGGACACAGAAACGGCGGCACCCTCTCCGGATCCCGTTCCACCTGCTGTGGAGGCGGAGCAGCAGACGCAGCAGAAGAAAAAGGTGAAGACGAAAAAACGGAAGAAAGGGGAGAGATCGAAGCAGCGGAACGCGACGCCCACCATCGAGTCTATCAAATTAAACATTCCTAAAGCGTTTTACCAAAAGAATCCGTCTTATCCGGCTGCGTTGCCGTCGGTCGTACAGACGAACGTGTCGTTGACACCGACTGAGAACGATATGCACATGACGAAGACCAATGTCGAGGTCCAGCAAACAGTGGGAGCAACAGGTCAGGCGATCAGCGGCAGTGGCTCGGAAGCGGAGAACAAGAGGTCGTCGAAACGAAAGCGAATACCGAAGAGGTTCTACGGCGACTCCAGTGACGACGAAACGGAGAAGCAACCGACGCCGAAGTGGAGAAAGGTGGAGACGCCGACCTTCGCTCCGGTGCCGACCATCGTGAAACCGTTGCCGCCAAGATTACCTTACGGCGGCAAGGGCATGGCGTACAGACCGATGGAAAATCCACAGGAGAATCTAGTCGCTGCCAATGCTTCCGCGACCGAATCCGAAGAAGCTGCGGAGAGCAGCAGCGATTCCAGTGACTCCGAGGTGGAAGCCAGCCAGCAGTTGCATCCGACTGTGAGCAACCCTCCGGCGCCAGAGCGCCCGGTCAACCTGTACTGTTACTGCCAGTGTCCGTACGACGAAGTGTCAGAGATGATCGCGTGCGACGCTGAGGATTGCCGCATCGAGTGGTTTCACTTCGAGTGCGTCGGGATCATGGTGCCACCGAAAGGCAAGTGGTATTGTCCAGATTGTCGGAAGAAACACGGTATCGTGCAAAATAGCGAGGACTACTTCGACTGATAGCAGCCGCTGATGTCTGCGTGTTGAATTTACTGTCTAATAGGCATACTAGGGATACCCGTAAGTAATATATGAATTGAGAGAAGCGGGTAACTCTTATACGTGTATAGAGGTGCTCGTTTAAGTGTCGCGTGTTCGGTCGTTTATCTCGGGAGATCGGAGCTCCACGAATCAGCCTTCATTTCTCACGGCATCGTTTGTTTAAATACGTCGAGGACAAGAGTGAGAAATGTCTGGTGCAAAATATAGAAAATTAGATAAAGGAATAAGTGGACGTCACTTAGACGGGTACTGCTCTGTTGGGCAATGAATGTTCAATTCTCTCTCCATTTCTTTTTCTGTTTCTCGAAGCTGTTTATGTAGATGGACAGTGAAGTATTCGAATTATTTATTGGATACCTGAGAGGAAAAAGATACTCTTCTGGTTGATCGTACGACTAATTGCAGAGAGATTTGGATCGCTCTTTAAAGGTCTTAATGTTAAGAATATGTGATATACTACCGAAATACCGAATATATATTAAACATTTTTTTATTCAAATAAATGGTCGTACCGATTATACGAATTCTGGGTTGAAAATATTGCCTAGGAAATTAAATAATATATAAATGTAAAACCACTGTGCAATCGACTTTAACACTTTTAAAAGTGAATATTCTCATCTTTCTCTTTAAAGTACGGAAATAATTATTTAGGCCGTATAAGGTATTAATGCTGTCTAAAGAATTTTTTAAATCGGATGATTCGAGCAAACAATTTTCTATAATCCAGCTTAATATTAAACAAATTAAATATCATTGTACTTCTCGAATTGAAAAAGTCTTGAAATACTTAGATATTTGAATGTAATCTAATGCACTTCTCTCGAAAAGAAATTTGGATTGAATCTCCAAAGAATTATAATAATTTTGCGTGACAGGTAATCTTCTACTCGAGTACAAATTATCAGAAAGTAAAGAAAGAGAGAGAGAATCGAAGAGTCGTCGCTATTTCCGAACGTTTTCTTTCTTTCTTCTCAGTCAGTGAGCAAACGACGTGTACACTGTTCCATGTTGATATTTTTCTTAAGTCGAGCCTATCGACGATGATAACGAGAGAAAGGGGAAAAAGCGAATGAAACATTTCTCTGTACATAATATTGTAAATACGTCTTAGAGTTTATAACAGTGAAGTAAGGTTTTTTGTGTACATTTGTTTGTACTTCTTTTAAAAACGACGGAAAAAACTGCGCGATGTATAAATTTATTGTAGCCGGTAAGCCAATTAATAGCGTTAATTAGAGCGCGATCGTAGGCTACGTCGTAGCGAGCGAGAGAAAATTCTTCGAGCCTAGCGCGAGAGGGGAGGGCTGTGTTCTTCATCGTCATCGTAATCATCGATTCGAAAACTGCGATAACCGCGACTGATAAACTGTCGGCACTGCTGGCGGTGTCTGGGTATATCCCTCGTTTAGACGATTATTTCACTACACACGCTTTTTCGAATCGTCTCAAAGATGCTCAGACAGAATTGAGTGAAAAGTAACGCCACCGATCTGCTCATCTTTTATCACTCTCCAATGCCTATTTTCAGTCGATGCATACCATGTTACTGATAAGTAACACAATTGTCTCAAGTGCTTTACTGTTTTTAAAAGGAAGGATCTACCAGTTGATTTTTATGGGACTCACGCACAGTCGAAGGAATTATTTTTCATTCAATTCGCGTGTACTCTGTGTAAGCTTTATTCACTCGCTTAATTAGACCGCGAACCTTGTTCCTATTCTCATTTCTTAAGTTTCTCTTTTTTTATCGCTTGAACTTTGACAAATTTTTATAATTACGCGCGTTCAAAACTTATTTGCCTCTTTCGTTCTCTTTTTTACTTAGTTCCGTATTTGGTAGAAATTAAGTAGAATTTATAGTGTTACGTTGTGCTACATGTTTTAAAGTGACCGACGAGTTAACGCGATGCGCGTATTTTATCGTTTTCTAGTCTAGTTTCTCTTCACCCTTGTTCTTCGCACCATTCAAACACCGACGAACACCTTTCTTTTATAGTTAATCGTATGTACAACTACCTAGGCACCTTATCGGATTTAGATAGCAACTGAACCTGCACCCTGCACCGCGAACGTTTCGCCTTTCTTCAACTACTATTCTCACGATTTTAGTTTATCAGAAACCATCGGGACGCAGGTACGATGTTTTATAAGCGGGTGTAACGTAACGAAAAACAATTTTGCTGCTGTGCTGTAAGCGTTATTCCATTTCATTGGTCGAAACTGTTATCAAAATCAGTCGCGATAAAATGCAACGAGAAAACAACAAAAAGAGAAGTCAGTCCGGATCGAAAGGTAACGATTGTTTCTTGTCCTCCTATACATTAATTTATTTAATTGTCAAACGACTGGAAAAGAAAATTCGTTCATTTTATCATTTAACGGTTCAAGGAAGAAACGCGAATAAGATACGTCGATGTTCATACGTGTTTAATAGAACTCTCAGTACAGTAATGATAATGTTATTAAATATGGTAAATAATAATCGACATTAACGTGCCAGCAATGTAAAGTGATGTTACGGATTTAATTGATCGTCATCGTCAGCCCTCGTTTCCGCCGGCAACTCAATACCCATGATGTCCGCGATGAAATCTTTGTAAGATATGCTCTGTATCATAAAAATAATAATACACTACTTTCGGCGAGCCTAAACGATTGATTTCATTCCGTTTTACACCGATCGTATCAGCAGAGACACACATGCGGTCGCTTTGCGAATCTCCGTTTCGTTCTTTTCAAATAAAATATCTAATAATAATTTATTATCGAAATTGTACGTGGGCTGTTTCAAACAAGCTCGAAAATTGTAATAATGTGCCAATGCCCAGGAGAGATGTTAAATGTCCAGTATTAATTAATAGATGTACAATTAAAAGATTTTCAATTGCCTAATGAACTGTGTTTCTTAAAAGAGGACTCAATTATCAGACTGGATATTAATTAATATTCAGTGTCCGCCTTTCTTAAGCATCGTATTAAAAAGAGAATTTTCCGTTGAAAGAAATTCTAGGAAATATACGTACCACTGGCAGGAACGAAAGATCAATCGACGAGAGACTTCGCTCGGCACTTTGATTAAACAGCTCGTCCACCTCATCCTCGCAGCCCGTCAGAATTTTCATATACGTAAACGCTTCTTGAATCGTCAATGGTTCCCCTGAATGGAATTTCAGAACTAATAAAAATATAATTGAACAATAAAGTTTGATGAACGTACCAAAGAGTTCACCGTCCGCCTTCGTGAACCCGTTTGGTCCTTCGCCGAGCAGTATTCGCATGAACTCTCCTCGGGGTAGTATCGGGTTGTCGCTCTCCATGTACGATTGTCGGGCTGGATTTGCGAGTACTTGAAACACTTTCTTTATCTGAGGCAGGGATATTCCGAAGGCCGGTCGATGATTTATGTAAAGTTTCACGAAGTCCGCGAATGTGATATGTTTAACTAGGTGACCCGTCTCGGCATAGTTTCTATAAGCCACCTCGCTCAACATTATTTCTATCTGAAAACGATTGATCGACCTGCAATGAGACTAACAATTTTTTATTCATTGACTGAATCGATAAGAATAATTGTATGACATAATTCAGCTCTAAAACTTCTTGAATAAATTCGTTCGTAAATGACAATTCATTTCTTCAAGGCTTTTCAATGAGATGATCGAATATTTTACATGCAAATTCTTATAGATTCACTATTTCATTTTCGTTAAGGTTTTTAATGAAATTGTCGTAGAGAAAATGTCTTAAAACAGAGAATTGCATAATAAGTAAAATCGTGACCTCGTCGTTGCTGAGATAATATCCAACGGCGCGCATCAAGTTCGGTATTTCTTTAGTACTGACGGTTTCGGTTACTACTCTGGGGAACGTTGTATTCTCGCCCTGATGGACGATCTGAGCGTAATAAAATAGATCCTTCATCTCGTTCATTAGCCAACCCTTAGGCCCACCGTCGATCAGACAGTAATACGGCGTTAAACCTCTGCCTCCTAAATGCGCTAGCACGTCGACAGATCTGACAAGACGAAACGCGTGATGATACAAATTCCAGGAAAGAATTTATTACACTTACGACTAGTTTAAATGATTAATTAGGAAAAATGTAGTTTTATTTCGGGCTGAATTGTTTTCGCTCATTTTTGTTCGTACCTGCATTTTATTTTCCACATTAAGATACACGAGTCTTTGGAACCAGACGTGAACAGATATTTTCCATTATAGCAAACAGCGATATTAGTGACCTTAAGAAGAAGGATTTTTAATTATTATTTTAATTCAGTTTCGAAGTAAATTACATAGTATTTCATTTACTTTTCGTGGATGACCTATCATTCCTAATATTTTATAAGGATTCCCATCGAAGGGAAGTATTTGAAGACCTATTTCCTTATCAGTCACGAATACCATGTATCTGCCAGATTTGTGTCCTTCGTCAGTTAGTATCTAGGCGAATACTTTTCGTCATTTCCAAACATCTTTTACTCAGACTATGCTGAAACACTATTTGCATTACTTGGATTTTTCTGACTGGTGCACCATAGAGCGGCCCCAAAAACGTTCCTCGCATCTTCTTCGTTACATCGTTTAACAGTCTGAATTTATACTAATTTCAAGACAAATCTTATTACATCCGTTACATTTTTAGAATAGGTTTTATAATTAATTTTGGATTGTTAAATTCAGAAAATCGTCTTATACTATTATGCATAGAATGATTTTTTGTCATTATACAAAAATATCATAAGGGATATAAATTATTTACTTGGGAGTTGCAAATGATCAAAAATTCTTCCACGCCAAATTGAGGATACCAAGCAAGAGCGAGAGGAATCGCTTCGCATTCAACTTTGAAACTAAGAAGTATTTTCAAACCAGGAAACGGATACGGTCCGCTACAAAGAAAACCATGAACACAGATTATAATAAATGATCCAATTTCTCTTCATGTTACAACTTCTACTCGTTGGTTTATGATTCCACATAAAATGATAGAATCAGCGAGTAGAAATTGGGTCATATACTATACTTGTAGAATTATACAATCCTTACATTCTCACGAATTTTACCTGTCTTTCAAATTGTACTCAATGAGATACCGATCTTCTCCCACTGAAAACAATCGGTACACAACGCTGTCGCTAGTAGCTGGACCGAAGATCAGATCTGTTATCGGAGCAAAATGAGAGCGATACTTTCCAAGAAAATCCCATATATGATTTGGGTCCTCCACATTCTCATTTCTTTTAAACACTGCGATTACCATCGTGTTATCCTACAAGAAAATGAACTTCGTCTTCTTCTTTGAAATTTAGATAGACAAATTTTATGAATATTTACCGCATAAGCCATATATTCTCCGCATTCGGTGAAAACTATTTTCGTTATAGATTCCTTGGAGTGTTTATAAGGGTGTGGGTCGAGGGGCTCTAAAGTAATAGGATGCAACATCCAAAGAGTTCCATTTTCAATACCACACGCGATTAAGTCACCTAAACATTTCAAATTGTTTTCGGGTTTTGAATTGCATTTGTATTTAGGATTGAGGATTGACAAGTATAGTAATTTGTAGTTCCTCGAATATATTTCAGGAAAATATTAAAAAATGTATTCAGTACTCTCTCTACTTGTTTCTATACTTAACGATAGAAACTATCATAAAGAGAAGTTTACCTGTCGTTGAGTATTTTAATATTGTAACGCTAGTAAGTTTTTCATGGGTTTCCGGGGACGTGATGTAAAGTATAGTACCGCTTCTCACTTGACCCTCTAACAGGGCATTAAAATCTACGTCAATCGCAGCTTTCCTGGATACGATGGTCTTACGTTTCTCGTAATCGTACATAGTGACGTAACCGCGTGCATTTCCGGCGACTATATAATTACTAGCCATTTAAAAATGTATTAATAATCGATCGGTAAATAATTCTGAAATCCCGACGCTCATAGATTATAAGCAAGTAAAAGAAAGAAAAAGCAGAAGTAAAATCTCTCGTCGCCCGTCGTGACGTATCGAATGTATATTTTTTTAGAACTCCGCATTTCGATTAAGAATTCGTTTCTTTCTCCGATCTAATTCTATACCTTCGGGGATGCGCGTCCAAACTGGTGACCATTGCAGTCATGTCTTTAAAAATTAATTGGCACTTCAACGCAGGTATTTCAATCAACGCAACCTTTCCGCTTGAACAACCTTTTTTTATTAAAGTACAGCTAATAAAAATTGCACACATAGATAAATGTGAATTTTTAATGAGTAATATTAAAGATACTACTTACTTACAAAGAAATTCTCAGCATAAAAAGGAGCATAATCGATGGTAGCATCCCTTGGCATGTGAGCCGGTTTCGTGAATGCCTGATGGCTCTTGCTATTATTTCTGAACGTTGGTTCTATGTTCACCGTCAGCGTCGACGAGACCTCGTCGCAATGCTTCAACGACTCTATCTTTCGCATGAACTGTACCCTCTGATTGCAAATCTTCTTCGAGCTTCTCCTAAATTTATTTTCCGAATATCTCTCAAAATCTTCTTCAATATCAGACTCGTCATCATCCTCAGGATCGACTAAATATAATTCCTTTCCTAGCATCTTTTTCTAAGTCTCTACATATATTTTATATTAAGTTCTATGTTTCTTGAAAAATCGGCAGCCTATTTATTATTTTTATACTATATATTGTATACTTCTTAAAAATATATTTTAATAAAACTAACTCTCGGATTCACTGTCTGCGACCACGGGACCCAAAAGCATGGATGAGTGGTCGAAACTTATGGATCGAATAGAATCCAAATGATCGTGTTGAAACCAATAAAGAATCTTCAAATCGAGGTCGTAGAAGTCTATACGGCCTGTTGCAGACCCCGTAACAATCATTCTAAAATCATACATCAAAAGAGTCACCTAATTTATAAAAAAAGAAGATTGGTTGAAAATGCAATTGAAATTCAATATTGATATGTAATGTTGTATGTAAATCATTTTCCAGTACGTAATTATTCTTTAGGAATCGGATTTAAACATTCATTTATTTATGAAAATTATAATCAAATGACTTGAATACCCATCATGATGTAATATCACCGGGATATTACATTTCGCTAACACTGCAGATTTGATATGTTTCCTCATTTCACTCTCGCTTGTCGCTTGACTCTTTTTATCATTCTTTCTCTTGCTAGATCCTTTCTCATGAGAGACGTCCCAAACCAAAACATGTCCTATTCACAAGAATCAAAGCTATTTTACAATAAAGTTAATGTCAGTTATACAAAATACAGAATTCTGACAATTCTGGAATTCATTTTCGAATGATATTTTATTCGATTTGTATAAAGAATCTATTTAATACCGTTTGCAGTTGCAGTTAATACTCGCTGGGTTCTGGACACGAAACAAGAACAATTAAATATTCCATACCGTCGCGGATTGCCCAAAATTTGCGGCACATAATATTTCAATTTATCTTCTTCCTAATTCAGAAAGAACTTGCTAGTATCATTTTTGCTCAGTACTGAACTCTTTCAATTTAATCTAAAGACAAACCCATTTAAAGAACGCTACGTGATAATCCGACGTCGTAGCGAATTCTTCAGAGAGATCTTCATTGAAAGCTAGATCCTTTACTTGATCCAAGTCAATGTCGGTTAATTCCGCGCTCGCTGAAGAGATAGATTCTTTGAGAATTTTAAATGATCGTGGAGAACAAGATTTCGGAATTTTAAAGACTTTCAGCTTTGTTATTCTAAAGCTATAGCATTCGAAATAGGAAGTTAACAACTAGTGCTACGGATTTTTGTGAAAAATAGAATTTCTATCAATTAAAAAATTTATTTATTATAATTCTGAATTCGCAATTAACCATCAGGTTGATCTCTTCCATACGTCCACAGCCAGAGTTGTACCTTTTGAGGAACTTCGTTTCCGATAGTCACTATATATTTCGCGTTTGGACTAATTTTAGCAGCAGTCATTGATTTCTCACCATGTGGATTAAACAGAGTGGAAATGGGTATACTAAAAATAATTCAGATATTTTTATTTTATTCTCTAAGCGATACAATTTCAATATCAACAGTATGTTGTTTGTTTCTTCTTCTCTATATTGAGCTGTTCTATGTTTCTTGAAAAATCGGCAGCCTATTTATTATTTTTATACTATATATTGTATACTTCTTAAAAATATATTTTAATAAAACTAACTCTCGGATTCACTGTCTGCGACCACGGGACCCAAAAGCATGGATGAGTGGTCGAAACTTATGGATCGAATAGAATCCAAATGATCGTGTTGAAACCAATAAAGAATCTTCAAATCGAGGTCGTAGAAGTCTATACGGCCTGTTGCAGACCCCGTAACAATCATTCTAAAATCATACATCAAAAGAGTCACCTAATTTATAAAAAAAGAAGATTGGTTGAAAATGCAATTGAAATTCAATATTGATATGTAATGTTGTATGTAAATCATTTTCCAGTACGTAATTATTCTTTAGGAATCGGATTTAAACATTCATTTATTTATGAAAATTATAATCAAATGACTTGAATACCCATCATGATGTAATATCACCGGGATATTACATTTCGCTAACACTGCAGATTTGATATGTTTCCTCATTTCACTCTCGCTTGTCGCTTGACTCTTTTTATCATTCTTTCTCTTGCTAGATCCTTTCTCATGAGAGACGTCCCAAACCAAAACATGTCCTATTCACAAGAATCAAAGCTATTTTACAATAAAGTTAATGTCAGTTATACAAAATACAGAATTCTGACAATTCTGGAATTCATTTTCGAATGATATTTTATTCGATTTGTATAAAGAATCTATTTAATACCGTTTGCAGTTGCAGTTAATACTCGCTGGGTTCTGGACACGAAACAAGAACAATTAAATATTCCATACCGTCGCGGATTGCCCAAAATTTGCGGCACATAATATTTCAATTTATCTTCTTCCTAATTCAGAAAGAACTTGCTAGTATCATTTTTGCTCAGTACTGAACTCTTTCAATTTAATCTAAAGACAAACCCATTTAAAGAACGCTACGTGATAATCCGACGTCGTAGCGAATTCTTCAGAGAGATCTTCATTGAAAGCTAGATCCTTTACTTGATCCAAGTCAATGTCGGTTAATTCCGCGCTCGCTGAAGAGATAGATTCTTTGAGAATTTTAAATGATCGTGGAGAACAAGATTTCGGAATTTTAAAGACTTTCAGCTTTGTTATTCTAAAGCTATAGCATTCGAAATAGGAAGTTAACAACTAGTGCTACGGATTTTTGTGAAAAATAGAATTTCTATCAATTAAAAAATTTATTTATTATAATTCTGAATTCGCAATTAACCATCAGGTTGATCTCTTCCATACGTCCACAGCCAGAGTTGTACCTTTTGAGGAACTTCGTTTCCGATAGTCACTATATATTTCGCGTTTGGACTAATTTTAGCAGCAGTCATTGATTTCTCACCATGTGGATTAAACAGAGTGGAAATGGGTATACTAAAAATAATTCAGATATTTTTATTTTATTCTCTAAGCGATAGAATTTCAATATCAACAGTATGTTGTTTGTTTCTTCTTCTCTATATTGAGCTTCCACACGCGTAGAGACTATCCCAATATATTCCAATAAATATAATAAGACTCTACTGAATTAAACCCGCTAATGTCAACATTTGATTAGTGATAGATCAAGTCTGCCGTAAAATCCGTACATGTACGGAGACCCAGAGTCAGACAACGTTGGTATGTACTACTGCGGCTGACCAATACTTCTCTCTTTCACTGATTTTTAAAACTCGTTCAACTTCTTAAAGATGTATAGGCTATGTACTTAAAGAATGCTAACATGTTGAATTCATTATTATAGATTCTTATTACTATTAAAAAGCTATCTGCAAAATTTTATATCAATTCATGGGTTTCT